GCAGAAAAGACACCTGCTCGGTCTGCACCGAGCGAAACGGACGAGGCTAACGGACACCTCATTTCGGAGCCGGGACTTTTTGAAGACGAAGCGCCTGCTGATCTCACAGGGCTGCTGGGGGACCAAGATACGAAGAGACAACATTGAAGAGAGCTGTCAGGATCGACAACCTGAAGATACCTTAGGTACTTCAGTTACTGAAGGTGCATGCGATACACGCTCACCGCTGCTTGAGAGAACCGACAACAACACCAAAACAACAACATCAACAAATCCTGCGGCGCTCCGTAATAAACGAACGAGACACGCAGCAGCAGCTTCTCCTTGTTTACAACCTGCTGGCGGGTCATGTTTGGGCATCGGCACAGTTGATCTCAGCAAAGAATGTCGCATCCCGGCTGTGGGGGCGGGTCTGACGTACATGATACCGGAGCATTCTTCGCATGCCACGCAACTTGGGTGCAGCTGCCCCTGCCCGCCGGGTACCGTCTACCCCCCAAGCGTCCCTCAGTCCCCCGTAGCTCCCCGTAGAGACACCATCAGCCGGTGCTAGTGTCTTGATTGTGCCCGTCCAGGCCAGGCTGCCGCCCTATCATCTCTCACCTCACTCAGTCCACATCACCTCCAAAAACCCACCACGGCCAACACTGGGGCCTGTCCATGCGTTTTGACAAAGTATGATATTTTTGGGCGTCGACAAATCGAGCATCACCAAGCGGTCAATTCGCCTCTCCAACGGCCTGTCGACGCAAACTCTATGTCCGGAACTGGACACGCCGAGTGTCTAGCCTCTGCGTTTAGGCCTCCTGCTGCCGCCTGGTGCCGCAAACACTGGGAAATTCAGGACTGTCAGACGAATCACGGTTGGAACCAGGCCGGAAACTCTGTTTTGCCCTGCCTTGACGCCGTGTCACCCTCTGAGATTGATCCGTGGCAGCTTCAGACACCAGAGCCCAGGGACCAGAGGCCAACAGGCAAAGGAGAGTTTCCACGGGGCCGCAAGTGGGTGCCCTGAAGCTGTCACGAGCCCTCTTTGCTTGCCTGTTTTTGAGTTTTGGCACAAATCTTTCGGGAGTTTATGTAATATCACGAAGGACTTCGTACAACAAGTACTGCTGCCCTCTCCATGTTCTTCTCTTGACCCCGATTCTCTCTTGATATGAACGTGGCACCAGTCACTACTACAACTACTACAACCGAGGAGTGCTCTGCTTGTGTCTCACCAGCTCTCTCCGCCCTTGTGCACACCCACTGCATCTCCGAATCCTGCGTCCTGTGGATGGCATCACCCACCTCGACAGATCTGTGAGACAGCATCTCGCTTCGTGCCTGGGCCTCGCCAAACGAGCCACGGCCACATGCTCTTGAAGCATGTCCGGGTGCCGCAACGTCGAGCCGATACCACGCGCCTCAGGCACAGTCCTAACATGTTTTCTTTAGCTCCGATCTGTTACGCTTCCCAGATTGCTCAAGGCCGACTGCATGCCGCGAGATCTACGACTTGTCTGTAACGAATCTCTCTCCCTCCCTCCCTCCCTCCCTTCTCCTCCCTCCCTCCCTTCTCCTCTGGCTCGCTGTCCCGCGCTCCTGGTATGCATTCCCAGGAGAACAGACCGACCAAAAAGAGATAGTGAGGAATTTGGAGGGCTTCACAAGCGCCAGGGCCGCGCTCTGCTCGTTGCGACGCAAACACACGAAGCAATCGGTTCAGTGCGCCTATCTGCCATGGGCGCTTGAGGCACCCTGTGTCCAACCCGACAGCCGTCGTCCAATAGAGGGCCCAGGCACACGGAATTTTCCAGCGCGGCAGCTCCTCCATCCTCATTCTTGGTTTGTTGCTTCTTTCTTCCAGCCTTCTTTCCGGGACTATTGGAGGCCATCATCCCGATCCACGGCTTCTCGTCGGCGCCAACGAGCGCTATTGCTGCATCAATGGATCGCGATGCTATTGCTAGTTCGCGTGCTAACCGCTGGGCCGGCATAAGGCCAGCCCAGCTCAGCTGGCAACCCTGGCTCCGGCCAACTTTGTGAAGTCAGCTTGACGCAATCACCTCATTTCTTCGATAGCGTCCAAGGCAAATCTCTGGCTATTAGTACTACTCGTATTGAGCTGCTGTGCTCTTCGTGCCAACTGATGCGGCTACCGTCGCGGTGATCACGCCGATCGCGGGCTGAGCTGATTCTGGAGCCATTGGCCGCTGCCTTTCGCGATGCTGCTTCATTGAGGGCCAGCAACCACACACGCAAGCCCCAGGGATTCGACTCGAACCTACGATCAATCTGGTGCTCATCCAAGCGCTCAATGGGGAGGCAAACAAGGCAAAGCGACTGGATGGAGGCAGCAGAATTCGCGCCAAGAGTGGACAGTTGCTCCTCAAAAGTCTCGAGCTGCCCAAGACCCAATTGGCGCTGTCAATGGCTTCCGGATTGCTTCGAGAACCAGCCAATGAGCGCCAACAAGCCGCCTTACATGCATTGGTTTGCTAGCCCGCCCCTCCGCCGCGGACCTGAAACAGCATTGATTTTACTAGGTAGTAGCGACAGTTTGCTGGCATCGTCGTCCAAGTTTCGATCAGGTTTGGATTCCTTCGGGTCTTCGCCGATGGACTTGGCTGAGCGTCTCTTGTTGTAAAGACGGGCTTGAGTGAGTCTCAGTTGTGTTGTCGCTGCGAGACACTCCAAAGAACTCCCTGCGAGGCAAGGAACGACCGGCTTCGAGACACTCATTTCTTCGACTACACCGGACATTCTATCGCGAGACCTGATTCCCATCTTGGCAACTCCATCATACGCACATAAGCAAACACTCTACTACGCCCTTACATGGGGCGCCCGGCTCTTGGAAACAACAGAGAAGCCGTCAATGCGTTCGCGCGATTTCATTTCTAGAATGCTCCTGGTGGACACGTCCGCTTCCAGGCCAATACACGGAGGGGGAGTGAATCCTCCCGTCAGGCTGGTTGGATTACTGCATCTTCTTACGGTAGCATCACGTCCAGTGCCTTGTGATCAGCACGTCTATTGCTGCGCGACTCTCCATCGAACAGCCAATTCTGCCCGGTAGGAGCTAGGTACTCAGTCACCTGTCAAGCTCTTCATAGTCATCGTTCTGGCGTTTCAGATCCTCTACAATCATCATGCCGCGGGAGATGCAGTTTGACCGACGTCTTTCCTTGTCATGTACTTCTCGTATGCGCTCTCTCACCGCAGGTTCGCAATCTCGCTAGATGGGCTCACGAAAAGCCTCACTGTTCAGATCGTCACTCCCTGCAATTGTGCGGAGACGGCCCCGCGGCTTGAATCTACTCCCACGGAAGCATTGGCAGGTCATCACCGTCAAATGTCCTGGCAACCCGATCCCTGCCACGAGCGAAAGCTGCAATCATGAACTCCATTGTTGTTTTCTCTTCTCGTCCCGTACCTACATAATATTACAGCATGTCTGACATCTGGCACATGTGAGGCAAGGCGGCTGTTGTCATTTTCCCCCCTGCTTCTTCTCTGTGCCAATGCAGATCCACATGTCGAAAGTGAGGCCTGATCATGGAAGAGCAAGCAAGGAGGTGCCGTAACACACCGCACTGCTGGCAATTAAACGATGCAGTTGCAAAGTAACTAACACATGCGTCGTTTAGTGCAATATCGGGAGACTTTTGCCAAAGACATCGACGTTTTTCGGTAGTGATACGCTCTGTTGTACCAGCAACGACATCAACAATCACCGAAGCATCGCCAAGAGGGAGAGACGAGCCGTTGTCCCCGACCTGCAAGGCGAGGTTGATTGGTATCAAGGTGCGACAGCAAGAGATCCGGGCTGCTGAGACTCAAAGAGTTGCACAGCCATACCCGGCCGCGCTATACACGTATGCAAGGGCAATTATAATAATCTTAAACACCAAGTTGGAAGAGAATGAATCCCAGAAATCTCCTGGCCTCTCAAACGGCGGCTCTTTTACACAATGCTTACGCTACATGTATATACGGCAGTTCACTACATTCCAGTACCTACTAACCTACCGTGTAATACCCGCCCAGATTCGTAGCCCGACGAAAACAGACGGGAAATTGGATACTACTGCTCGACTACCAATCGATTCCAATATCTTGTTGTAGTAGTTCATCCTGGGAATTCTGCCCTTTGCAGGCATGTATCGATTCTCTCTAGCATCAATAACGCGTTTCCGTCGCGACTACAAAAGACCGAAAGGGGAAAATCTGCAAATAGAAACCAAACGACCCGTGGGATTCCGACAGGGATCACTCCGTTTTAGGTTTACGCAAGCCTATTGGCTAACCTACAGCATTAGCCCGAGTTTCGGATCTTGAACAACGCATCAACCTTGGATTTGATTTTGGGAGGGATGGGTGTTGGTGTTGTCGTCAGCTGAAGTTTAGAGTTTTGTCCGTTTCTGCGCCCATTCCTGGGGAACTCCCGTATAAGGTACCGTTTACGTCGTGGCTCCTCATTTGGAATTTGAAAGCTTTGATGAGGTTGTAAGCTGGGGCTTCGGATGTCCCCTTTCCCCTTCGAGAGTTATGACCTAATTGGGGGATGCGAAGAGAGGCTTTGATGAGATTGTGAAATTGGGGGGGGATGCGCCCCGAGCCGCGGGCGCGATGGCGCAATGGTTTGGACGTTTTGTTTTTGCTTTTTGCTCTTCAGGTCTGGTCTGGATGGGTGATATTACTGTTCTTGGAAACTCCTCTGGTGAACGAGGATGATGAAGGGGACTTTGCGGCAGAATTGGTAAAATGCACATCCCCATTGAACTGAGGGTAGAGCTTCTTTGCTGACACCATGAGAGCTGGATGGAGGTTCAAAGCTACTTAGCGCGCAGCTTCAAGTTGTCGCAGATATTCTCTTAAAGCGCAATATGGAGTTAGCGAGGCTGTGAGCTGAGACAGCCGGATCGTTTCGGCCCGTCCGCCCAACGTCACCAATCATGGCGGGGCACTGATACCGTCCGCCTGAAGAATTTCACGATTGGAGCTTGAACGAGCGAATCATCTCCAGAGCGGGCAACGATATCCAGGCGATCAATCGGACGTCCAAGCACCCGCACGCGAAGCCGAGGCCGCCGATAATTGCTCCGGACTTCAGATACCCAAGAGGCTTCGCTACCGTCGGCATCGCACATCGCCCCACGACAGCCATGGAGGCCGAGATCAGGGCCGTTCTCCCCAACATCGACCCGGTCGTGTCCGATTACTCGGTTGGCTACCTGACCCATGCTTCAACCGCCTGGTCCGACGAAGAGAGCGACGCCCACGTCTCCCCTCTCAACGAGGCAGCGGCGATAATCACCGAGTTGCTCGTCTCCGCCTCCGGAGGCGCAGACCCCGCCCAGGAAGAGAAGATCAAGCAGCTCGTCGAGAAATGGGTCGACAAGTACGCCGAAGCGAACGGAGGCGAGCGCCGAGGGCCCTCGGCCATCAGGAGGCTCGACCAGACGATCCAGGTCAGCTCCCAGCGCAACATGTCCTCCACGCTGGCCGTGGCCGGCGGCGCCGTCGACCTCGAGTCTGCCAATGTGCGCAAGGTCGAGTCCAAGGTCGACCGCAAGAAGCTGGAAAAGGCCGAGCGCAAGATTGCCGCCAAGCAGCAGAAGAAGACGTTCAAGACGGTCGAGTACGAGGCGTCGAGGTTGCTGGAGCAGCCCGAGGATGCGCAGTCGTATGAGGAGTTTTACATGGCTGTCAACCCGCTCCAGCTTGGCGCGTCGGGGGCCAACAAGACCAAGGATATCAAGCTGGATAACATCGATGTGTCCATCGGCGCCAATCGCATTCTGACCGATACCACGCTTACGCTGGCATATGGCCATCGCTACGGTCTCGTTGGTAACAACGGTGTGGGTAAATCCACGCTGCTGAGAGCTCTCTCCAGGAGAGAAGTGCCCATTCCGACGCACATTTCTATCCTCCACGTCGAGCAAGAGGTAAAGCTGATACACCCATCATCTATCCATGAGGCCTGCGAACACGACTAACATGCTCTTGCTAGATTACCGGTGACGATACTCCAGCTCTACAGGCCGTTCTCGACGCCGACGTGTGGAGAAAAGTTCTTCTCAGGGAACAAGAGGTAAGAACACTGGCGTGGCAGGTGTCCCGAATACATCGTCTGACTTTTCTTTTCTTTTTTTTCCCATAGGACCTTACGGCTAGGTTGGCAGATTTGGAGGCCCAGCGAGCTCCTCTGGCCGACACTTCGGCAGATGCTGCCCGATTAGATCTGGAAAAGGAGACCTTGGACACCAAGCTAGGCGATGTCCAAGCCAAGCTGGCCGAGATGGAATCCGACAAGGCAGAGTCTCGTGCCGCCAGTATCCTGGCTGGTCTCGGTTTCTCGCCCGAGAGACAACAGTACGCGACAAAGACCTTCTCAGGCGGTTGGCGTATGCGTCTGGCGCTGGCGCGTGCTCTGTTCTGCGAGCCTGACTTGCTGTTGCTCGACGAACCGTCCAACATGTTGGACGTCCCTTCGATTACTTTCCTTTCAAACTACCTCCAAGACTACCCAAGCACTGTTCTCGTCGTCTCTCACGACAGAGCGTTCCTCAACGAAGTCGCGACGGACATTATCCACCAACACTCCCAGCGACTCGACTACTACCGCGGAGCCAACTTCGAGTCCTTTTATGCCACGCGCGAGGAGCGGAAAAAGGTGGCCAAGAGAGAATACGAGAAGCAGATGGCCGAGCGAGCACATCTGCAAGCCTTTATCGACAAGTTCCGGTACAATGCGGCCAAGTCGTCGGAGGCGCAGTCCCGTATCAAGAAGCTGGAGAAGATGCCCGTGTTGGAACCGCCGGAGAAGGAATACGACGTCAAGTTCCAGTTCCCCGAGGTGGAAAAGCTGTCGCCTCCCATCATCCAGATGTCAGGGGTCAGCTTTGGATATTCCGCCGACAAGCCGCTGCTCAGCAACGTGGATCTCGATGTTCAGCTGGATTCCCGTATCGGCATCGTCGGACCCAACGGTGCGGGTAAGACGACGGTCTTGAAGTTGCTTGTGGGCAAGCTGGAGCCGACAAAGGGCCTCGTCACGTCGCACCCAAGGCTTCGCATCGGCTTCTTTGCGCAGCACCACGTGGACTCGCTCGACCTCACTATGAGTGCCGTCAGCTTCATGGCCAAGGCGTATCCCGGAAGGACGGACGAAGAGTATCGACGGCAGCTGGGAGCCTTTGGCATCACGGGCACGACGGGTCTGCAGAAGATGGCCCAGCTCTCGGGAGGTCAAAAGTCGAGAGTGGCATTCGCCTGCCTGGCACTGACGCAGCCGCACATTCTGGTGCTCGACGAGCCGTCCAATCACTTGGACATTGAGGCCATGGACGCGCTGGCGGAGGCGCTGAACGAGTTCCAGGGCGGCGTGCTGATGGTTTCGCACGACGTGACGATGCTGCAGACGGTATGCACGTCGCTGTGGGTGTGCGACGGCGGCACGGTCGAGAAGTTTGACGGCACGGTGCAGCAGTACAAGAAGAAGATTGCGGCTCAAGCAGATGCCGCAGGTGTTGTCAAGGCTCATTAGACTAGTAGGATATCAGAGTCAGTCCATCCAACTATGTACCAATACTCTACAACTCTCCATGGCAGCCAGGCTGTAAATATCAGTCTATCAGTCTATCCATCTGTCTGCTTATAGCGTCTGTACTCGGCATCCATCCTCATCATGCTCGGCATTTCGTCCCTTCGTGCTCAATGTTCCCCGGAATACTCGTACATATGAGATGCCTGTTATCTCTTTGACGGATCCTCGCAGGGACGCGGCCAGAAATGTGGGGATGGCCAGCATCTTCTCATCTCGGCTCGTGAGCTGGCGCTGCATGAGATGGAGAAGCCTGGTGTTGCGGTAAAAAAGGAGTTCTTTTGCCACTCTTTTCCAGTCTCTGCAGTGTGCGTTGCCTCTCTTCTCTCACTTGCTTGCTCCCGTCTCTTCTCTTCTTGGTTAAGCCTCTCTTATTACCGGGTCGAGTTAGGAACAGGTGATGATGGTCAGGCCCAAAAGTCCAAGTCCAGGGGACCAGGCGGCAAAATCTGCTTAGCGTGCCTGCAAGTTCTCGCTAGGCCACTGGTACCTTGCTGGGTGCTGTGCTGTGCTGTGCTGTATTGTATTGTAGCTGTTGGTGCTTGGCAGTCTCCCTGCCTGACTGTTGAATTTAGGTCCATTGTCTGCAAATGCCACCGTTGTGATGCTTCTTGAAGAATACCGAACCCAATAGTAGGCGGATGCACGCAGTGTTTCGGTTGATCACCTTGCACCTCTCGTCCATTAGGTGGTCTGTAAGTCCCCGTCAGGTACTGCCGCCATCTCCAGCAGCCACAGCGCGCATCCTTCCCCCCTATCCAGGCCCTGCAGCCACCCGCCGTCCAGCGACTGGCCCAGCGCCTTCAGGCTCTTTCAGGTACAAGTACCAACGTATTCGTACCTCCTCCTTCCCCGGCCCACGCCCCGCCCTGGCACCTTCCAGGTTTCCATTTGAGCGGTGAACCCGCGCATCTCCACCCGCCGTCCCAACCCGGAACTCCAACAAAACCCTCCAGCTTCTCCTCGAGCCCAAAGCTCTTGCTCCTCCTCCCAAACCCGCCAGAAGCTCTTTGTTGTCGCGCCCTCTTTTCGTTTGCGTCTCTCTCTCCCTCTCTCTTTATCACTCCTAATTTTCCCATCACAGCAGCCAAGATGCGTGAGATTGTGAGTTTTATTCCCTTCGTCCCCTCTCCGTTGTTTACTTTGGGCCCTTCTCGCAAACGCGTTTGGCGACTGGAGCCCCTGAAATTGTACCCCGCCAACCTCGACAAAACGAACACTTTGGCGTTATCCCCCCCGAATGAAGGCCCAATTCCGCTTGATTGAGGCGTGTCGTGATGCAAGAAAGGATGACATTTGCTGATTGCTGACTTTCTTTCGATACACAGGTTCACATCCAGACCGGCCAGTGCGTAAGTCACTTCTCCCCTCAACGATTCACCCCCGCTGAATCCCGCGGACGGGAGCTTACAATCCTCGACAGGGTAACCAAATCGGTGCCGCCTTTTGGCAGACCATCTCTGGCGAGCACGGTCTCGACAGCAATGGTATCTACGGCGGCTCTTCCGAGCTCCAGCTGGAGCGCATGAACGTCTACTTCAACGAGGTACGCCTTTCCCCCTCCCCCTTTCTGCTGGCGTTTGTAGCTCGCCGGGCGAGCACTACTTAGTAGAAGCCCCTATTCTGACTTTGGGTGGTGCAGGCCAACAACAACAAGTATGTTCCTCGCGCTGTCCTCGTCGATCTCGAGCCCGGTACCATGGACGCCGTCCGTGCCGGTCCCTTCGGTCAGCTCTTCCGACCCGACAACTTCATCTTCGGCCAGTCTAGTGCCGGCAACAACTGGGCCAAGGGCCACTACACCGAGGGCGCCGAGCTCGTCGACAACGTCCTCGACGTGATCCGCCGTGAGGCCGAGGGCTGCGACTGCCTGCAGGGCTTCCAGATCACCCACTCCCTCGGCGGTGGTACCGGATCCGGCATGGGTACGCTTCTCATCTCCAAGATCCGCGAGGAATTCCCCGACCGAATGATGGCCACCTTCTCCGTCATGCCGTCCCCCAAGGTGTCCGACACCGTCGTTGAGCCCTACAACGCTACCCTCTCCGTCCACCAGCTGGTTGAGAACTCGGACGAGACCTTCTGCATTGACAACGAGGCTCTCTACGACATCTGCATGCGCACCCTGAAGCTGTCCAACCCTGCCTACGGTGACCTGAACTACCTCGTCTCTGCCGTCATGTCGGGCATTACCACGTGTCTGCGATTCCCCGGTCAGCTTAACTCTGATTTGCGTAAGCTGGCTGTGAACATGGTTCCCTTCCCCCGTCTCCACTTCTTCATGGTCGGATTCGCTCCTCTGACGAGCCCCGGCGCCCACTCCTTCCGTGCCGTCACCGTGCCGGAACTCACCCAGCAGATGTTCGACCCCAAGAACATGATGGCGGCTTCCGACTTCCGCAACGGTCGCTACCTGACCTGCTGCTCCATCTTGTAAGTAGTCATGTGCCCCGAGAGATGGCGAGACTCACAAATGCTAACACATTGTCTAGCCGCGGCAAGGTCGCCATGAAGGAGGTTGAGGACCAGATGCGAAACGTGCAGAACAAGAACTCGACCTACTTTGTTGAGTGGATCCCCAACAACATTCAGACTGCCCTTTGCGCCATCCCTCCCCGTGGCCTGAAGATGTCGTCCACCTTTATCGGCAATTCCACCTCGATTCAGGAGCTGTTCAAGCGTGTCGGCGAGCAGTTCAGTGCCATGTTCCGTCGCAAGGCCTTCTTGCACTGGTACACTGGTGAGGGCATGGACGAAATGGAGTTCACCGAGGCCGAGTCCAACATGAACGACTTGGTGTCCGAATACCAGCAGTACCAGGAGGCTGGTATCGACGAGGAGGAGTACGAGGAGGAGGAGGCTCCCGTCGAGCACGACGAGTAAAGCGTCTGCCAGCACGTGGCGGGCTTTTGTTGTGGTTACTTTTCTTCTTCGGGTGCATGCTTGATGTGTAGCCCCTGATTACACTGTACGACTTGCCTTGAGGGGAGGTTCTAGATGATTGGACGACCATTTGATATCCACGCGCGATATGACAGTCGGTCAGATGGCAAGTGTTTGCAAACCTAATGAAATAAAAGAGTACGATTATGTACATGATACGTGTTGCTCAAGATCCCTTGTCTCTGTGCGTGTGCCTATCCGAAGGGTCATGCTTGAAAAGGCATTCGTTGGTAAATCTCTTTGGTCTACGAGACGCTGGCGAACATGGCCAATTGCTTGTAAAGACAGTCCAACCAAGGTAGTACTTAGCCAAGGCACAGTGCGACACCCCACCAAGCACTCAATTCATCCGCTGACTCAGCAAAAAGTTCGACTCCAGCTCTAGAGACTCCATCAAGCAAACCTCCAAAAGAAGAACCAGTGCAAAAGAGCACCACCACCACCACCACCACCCACGATAACCTTCCGGAGTAGCGACACAGGGGTTTTCCGCTCGCCCAATTCCCATCCCCCAATGGCCGGAATCCTCGCCCCTTGCCGCACTGGCGGCAGGGCGCTGTCCGCAGCAGCAGCCTCGCCGAGCCAACAACCCCTCTCAGCGCTTCTTTTCCCGGCAGTGCAACTTTCAGCATCACGATTTTCTCTTTGCGCGACGACGATGACGAAAACGACACGACAGCGACCGTTTTCGACGACACAAGCCCCCCTGTCGAAGCTGGGCCGGACGCCGCTTTCGATTCCCCCCGGCGTGGAGGTTGTCATGGGGGAGCCGAGGGCGCTGAGGAGCGCGACGTCGTATAAGCCTGTGGTGAGGAAGACGATTACCGTTACGGGGCCATTGGGTGCGTTTTTTCCCCTTTTTTCCCACTTTGATATGATTTGGACGAATTGAGGAAGGGGATCGATGCTGGATTGGGTTTGAGAAATTGAAAAGACTGACGTGGTGTGTGTGTGTGTGTTTTCGTATAGGGACGTTGACGCTGGATGTGCCCGAGTTCGTGGACCTTGTACAGAGCGTCGAGGATAAGACTGCGACGTTGAGCGTGCGGGATCCGAACGAAAAGGAGCAGAAGGAGATGTGGGGTACGTTTTTCTTCTCATTCTCCATCATCACCTTGATCATCCCCCTCCTGTCGACAATATATCGCCCGCAGAGAAAAAACAGGCTTTTCGACAAGTAAACTAACAAACAAAAAACAAACAGGCACATCATGGTCCTACCTGAACAACCACATCACGGGCGTCTCCGAAGGCCACACGGCCATCCTGCGCCTCGTGGGCGTCGGCTACCGCGCGAGCGTCGAGCAGCGCGGCGCCAAGGAGACGTTCCCCGGCCAAAAGTTCCTCTGCCTCAAGCTCGGCTTCACGCACCCCGTCGAGGTCGGCATCCCGCGCGGCGTCACCGTCACGACGCCCTCGCTGACGAGGATCCTGCTCGAGGGGCCCGACCGGGAGGCGCTCATGAGCTTCGCGGGCGTGGTGCGCAAGTGGAGGCCGCCGGAGCCGTACAAGGGCAAGGGCGTGTTTATCAATGACGAGACGATTAAGCTGAAGCAGAAGAAGATTAAATAAATGACTTGACTTGACGTGACGGGAGGGAGAAATGGGTTTGGTTGGAAAAGATGAAAAAGAGAATGGATTTTAGGAGGAGGGGGGGAAAGGGAGCGGCAATTGTACAATATCTGGTCTCTGGGCACGGGTGTTTTTGACAAGAGGCTTGTATGATCATCAATTGAGAGATAATGGGGGGAAGTCTCTCGCGATATATTCTACATACTAGGTACTTAGACACACAGGAGGTACACAGGTTTATATTTCATATCCTCTACAGCTTTGCGCTCAACACCTCCTGCACCGCCTCCAACACCTTGCCATGCACCGCCAACGGCGCCGCCACAACGCCCTTGTTGTTCGCCAGCGTCCGTCCCACGCTGAAGTCTAGCCGCTTGCCATGGACATCCGTCACCTGGCCGCCGGCCTCCCGCACAATCAAGTCGCCCGCGGCGTGGTCCCAAATCTTCTCCTGGTACGTCGCGCTCACGGGCAGACGCAGGTAGATGTCGCCCGCGCCGCGCGCAATGGACCCGTACTTGGCCTGGCTGTCCATGCGCACGCTCGGCGCGGTGATGCCCAGCTTCTGCGAGATGGCGGCCTGGTCGCCGTGGGAGGAGTGGCCCGCCTCGACGCTCTCGCAAAAGTTGGCCTTTGTCAGGTCGTCGATGGCGCGCATGGAGATGGGCGTGCCGGCGTTGGGATCGAGGCTGACCGTCGCGAGGGGCCGGCTCGTGGCGCCCTGGCCCAGGACGGCGGAGAAGAGCACGCCGTGGCCCTCGTCGGTCTGGTTCTCGCCGATGCCGGCCGTCAGGCGGGCCGCGTCGTCGACGGGCAGGTTGGGGCAGCCCAGGGCGCCGACCTTGACGTCGCCGTCCACCATGAGGGCGAGGCACACGGCGTACTGGCCGCCTCGGAGGAAGCCCTTTGTGCCGTCGATGGGGTCAATGGCCCAGATGCGCCCCTGAGAGCCGCCGGGGCTGTTTCCCTTGTCAATCAGCTCGACCATGGCGTCGGCGTCCTTGATCGGCCCTCCCAGCAGCGCCTCGGCGTCGGGGCTGTCCAGCTTCGTGTCCCTGACCAGCTCCCAGACGGTGCTCCTCAGGTTCTCATCCTCCCTGAGCTTCGCAGACTCCTCCTCGGCGACAATGGCATCGTCGGGGAAGTTGTGCTGCAGCGCGGCGATGATGAGCGCCTGGGCGCCAAAGTCGCCGATGGTGACGGGCGACTTGTCGTTCTTGTCGACGGTGCCCTTTGCCTTTTCGTGGAAGACGCGCTTGGTGAGGATGGAGGCGCGCTGGACGGCGAGCTGGGCGACCAGCAGCTCCTTTTCGTACTTGTCGCGACGCATTGTTGCTGCTGCGGTTGTGGTAAACGGTGATGATGGTACGCTGAGGGAGGAGAGGCGGGTTTGGCGCAGGAGGGAGGAGAGATGATGCCCGGGGCGGTGGATGAGGCGGGCGATGAGGAGAGCCGTGGTAGCGCCTGGGACGGGGGTGAGGAGGGAGATGGAGAGGACGATGGCGGGGAGGAAGAGGAAGAGGAAGAGACGGAGCTTTGGAAGAGATGAGCGGTGGTGAGAGGAAGAAGGAGAGGCCGGCGATAGATTGGAGGCCGATGGCGGTTGATTATGTGGAGATGCAGAGGCAGGAGATGATGACATCCCCCCTCTATGTAAGCTGCTTATAGACTATCCAATGTAGCCACTGAAACAAATAACTGGATAATTCAATTCAATTCTCAGCGGCAATTGGACAAAGGTACACCAAGATCATCAGGGATACATAAACCCCCCTCCCCGATGGCCCGTCCAGCAGCTCAACGCTCCTCTGTAATTCTCCCGACAACCCCGCCGACGTCCCGCCGCTCTCAACGCGCCTCTCCCCAAAACACCCCGCCTAACAGCTCCCTCTACAGTTACCCTCCATAGCGGGGCCTACAGCTCCGGCACTCCGGCCGTCCAATTTTCCGGGCCAGCAGCGGGTAAAAAAAAAAACATGCTGGTCTAACCTTGAACCACCGACTTTGATCCAGTTCCGTCCAATAATTCGCGTGCAGCACCACCACCAACCAACTTGTACATCTTCGCAACTCGGACTCCAATCTCATATAATAACTACCACAGCCATATATATATATATATACAACAATAACAACGCAAGACAATGGCCTCTCACTCCCCCGCCCACCTGCGCTCCCTCTACCGCTCCCTCCTCCGCGAACTCCCGCCCCGCCCCATCCTCGCCTCGCCGCGAACTCCTCTCCACCACCGCATCCGCTCCTCCTTCGTCGCCGTCGACAACAGCCCTTCTTCTTCCTCCTCCTCCTCCTCCTCCTCCTCCTCCTCAGCCTCACCGTCAGCCGCCGCCTCCGCCGCGCCACCAGCGGACCAGCACCAGGTCGCCCTCGGCCACCAGCTCGTCGCCTACCTCCGCGCCCAGCGCATGTACGTCACCCTCATCGAGCGCTACAACCCGGGCATGGACATGGACCAGAACGAGCGCATCCGCTTGACGGCCAGGAGGGTCGGCATGGATCTCCCCTCGCTGGGGAAGAATGATGCGCAGTAGGGACGTGGAAAACTCTGTTTTCTGCCGTTTCATTTCTGCTTCAATCTTTCTTCCTTCCATTATCCGTCAAAAACACCTTTTGACTTCGAGGAAGGGTTACTATGTGTAACCGACTTATTACACCATTTTACGTTATTGTCATATATATATCCATTCTCGCCAAAACAGCAAACAGCAAAGGAATGTATCACGACAAGGGGGGACGAATTCTCCCGTGTACCATTACGCGACTCTCTCAGCTATTTACACACTTTCATCACGGAGGCATCTCACAACCAGCAATATGCCGCTTTCTGCAGACAGCACCTCCAACAGGAACTATTCCTACAAAAGAACTGGAGTAGATAGAAGGGGTTCAAAAAAGCCGCAAGTTTTGGACCGAATGTGCCACACAAGGATCACGCGCAGAAGCATGCATACCAAAAGAGGAGGACATACCCACCATACCACAAGTCCAGGCACACCACAATATCATACGCTTTGCCACCGAGAGGGAACGAGAAGGAGGAGGAGCCAGAGGAAGCAGCATGGTTGACGGAATATATATGTCTCAAGAAGACTCGTCAGCCCGCACCGTGTAGGATGGACCGATCTCAGCGCAAGACGACACATTTACCAAGAATTGGCCATACATCGCAAGATGAAGGGACTCTCACAGGCTATATACCACAACACACATCATACCCGGTGTGAGCCCATTTCCCCGCTTCATATTCCAACATGTACATACACGCCTTCTTCGGCCATACATACCACTTGACCTACATGTAGTACTGGTTTGTATATATCATAAGATTGTGCACGCATGTATGTACGCTATATCCTTGAATACCAAAAAGGGAAATGTAAGGCATCTAGAAAAATGTCCGCCAAAGTTTTTTATGTATAACATATATAAGGTGTTTATAGTAAAGCTCCTCGAGGGGGTATCAAAAAGAAAACATCAGGCAAATCATGTCTGTAGCTGTGGTGCCAAATTCCAACTCTTTTTCGCTTGCCAATTATCAAAATCTCATGCAAGGTTCCTCCTTTTTCTTTTTCTCGTCTGCTTCCTTCGATCTCGCCCCCCGTCTTTCATACCTCTGTATCATCATCATCGTTGTCGTGATAAAAACAAGAACGCTCCAAACAAAACGAACGTTTCGAAATAAAAAGGGGGAGAGAAACTGTGTTCATGTGAAAAAAACATGGCAAAAGATCATAAAAGCCAGCGCTCGCTACGCTCACACAACTCCAACTCCATTATCCTCCAGCGTCTCGTCCCAGCCCCCCGTCTGCAGCAGCCACTCCCCCGTCCGCTCCTTGACCGCCGTCATCGCCGCCCCCAGCGAACTGTCCCACTGGTCCTGCACCAGCCGGACCTTCTCCTTCAGGTCCTCCGTCAGTCGGCGGTTCTCAACCTCCTTCATCTGCTTGGCTCGCAGCTCTCGGTCCTCGGGTCGGATCGGGGTGCCGTCCGCTTCGACGAGCTGCGTCGCGAGCACACGAGCCTTCGCGTTGACGACCGCCTCCTTGACCTCGTGCAGGAGGCAGAGCTGGTTCGTGTGCGCCTCGATGAATTGGTACGTGCTCTTCTCGGCATGGAGAAGCAGGCTGTAAAGGTACTGCAGCGGGTGGTCGTAATAGGCAGGATTCTCTTCGTACTCCGATGCTGGGATCTGCACCCCGAATCCCTCCAGATGCATCGGGATGCTATCCAAGAGTCCGCACAGCGGCGGGGCGATGTCCCAAAACGCCGAAAGTTGCAGCTCGATGCCTCGTGCTACCGCCTCCTCCATCACCGACCTGAATTCGCGCGCCCGGTTCAGCACCTCGTTGGCAAACGCATACTCTCGCTTCTCCGCGTCCTCCCTGAAGAATGCTTCGGCCGACTTGAGCTTCTCGGCGTTTCCGGAAAGTCGATACGGCGTCAGCACAACGTCACGATAGCGAGCATTGCGGTCGGAGAGCAAGTCGTAGATGGCCCGGTGCAGCGATTCGCGCTGCTCAAAGATCCACTTGAGGAGAGTCAGCTTCTCCAGCAGCTCCGGCTTGTCGTCCCCCTCTTCTTGCGGCATGTCGGCGTCGATTTCGCTGCTGTCAAACAAGTGGCGGGCCAGGTCGTCAAACAGCTCGGTTGCTCGAGAGATGCGCTCCATCAAGATGTCGTTCAGCGGCAGCACCACCTGGTTCTGGAAGTGCTCGTATTCCAGCTTTTCAACCTCCTTCTTCTTGTCCTTTTCCTGTTCGTTAAAATCAGCTTCAATCGCCGCGGCATCAGCGTACCCCAGATTCCCCAAGCTGATTTCTTTTTGGAGGTTTGATCTCAACGCTTGGCGGCGCTCTGCTGCCGCCTTGGTAGCATCTTCTCGGCGTCGGAGACTACTCGAGGCAAATCGCTCCTTTGAGCCTTCAATGTCCGCCAGCTCGCTCAGAGATCGTACTGCCGCGCGAATCGAGGCCAGTTCGGGGTGGCTGTTATTCACCGCAGGGTGGTGCCTTGGATAAGGGGGCGGCATGGTGACGAGTCTGGAAACGTCCAAGAGGCCATGTCTGTTGGTCGCCGTAGACGGTGTAGAAGCCACAGAAGTGCTCGACTGCTGAGGCGTCCACACCTCTCCCTGATCGTGCCAGCCCGTCTTTTCCGGGGGATACTCCGACGCAGAGCATTGCTCACTGGTCGGCGCATAGTGCGGCGTCGTCTGTTCCTCGATCCACTGGTCCTTGGGCACGCCCATGTACTTGGATTCTCGTTTCGATCTCTCAAATCCGCTGCGGTTCGGGTCACCGTTCGAGTCCGTCTCCCACCATCGGCTGGGAGGTCTCCCTCGTGAGCTTCCGTTTTCGTGATTATCGCTCACGCTCATGCTGAGGATGGGAGACAGCGAGGGCATGTAGTTTGCGGTACCGCCCCAGTTGAGAGGCTGCTTTATCCCTGGAGACGATGGCAGGCTGGCACTTGCCGGGGCCGAGCTCGATGAGTCATCCGCTTGTTGTAGAGAGCTGACGGAGTTCCTGTGAGACCGGTTTGGCTCTGAGGATTCCGGGGTCCAGTCACCCACGGACTGGGAAGTCATCGATTCTCGTCGGACCGAGTTCATCGGGCGGAACAGGTCGCGGCTCAAGTCGAAGATTTCCGATCCCATAGCCCCAATGGCTGAGGAGTATCTCTCACGTCGTATTCTAGACTCTGTGACGATAAAGTCTGAGAAAAGACGTACCCGGTCCGCGTCTGTGGCGGCCGACGCTTCCTTGATTGCAAACGACCTGAACCTCTCAATGGACCCAGTTGCGAACTCGGCCGCGGTCTGGCTCACAACGATTTCCTTGGACGGCGACGCCGTGGTGGAGGAAGAGAGGCGCGATGCCTCTCCGACGACTGACCCAGATGCAGATCTGGTCTGAGGCGGCGGCGTTGGCAGAGACTTCGGCACGCCGCTTTGGCTTACGCCGCCTTGCCGGTACGCCTTGGCCGGGGTTGGCGAGAACGGTGGAGTGGCTACTTCACGATGCAGTAACGTGGCCGAGTCTGGCGCCCGAGGAGTCGAGTTGCGAGAGTCGTGCTGTCCTGATGATTCCCCGGTAAGGGGTTGATCCATGGGGGCTTTGCCGTTGCTCCGGGGAGTTGCCTTGCCGAGCGTGAGCCTACGAACCAGGCCGTTGCCATTCGCGGGGACAACAATGTCGGCAATCTGCTGCACCTGTATCGCGTTGTCAACAGAACCCCGCGATTCGTGTCGGGTGCGACTCTCGCTTCTCCTTTGCAAGATGGTCTTGTCATGTCGCACGGCCTTTGCACGAT